TAACAGCAACCCAGTCTCTGGAAGTAGGTCTCCTCGTTTACAAAGGCCACCTGGGGTTTTCTCAAAGTTGTGGGCTCTGCTTTGGGTAGTTTTCTCACCCCAGCCGAATAGTCAACCCCCCCAACCCCGTAACATTAAAAATTCCCTATATGCTATAGTACAATTTGTTTGGAATAGTCACTACTACGGTCCATTATGAGGGCGAGGGGATTACCACTACTGATAGGAACCCACTTTTGGAAACTAGACCCTAAACCCTGAACCCTTAACCCCTAAATTAAGCTTACTGGCTTACATGGGGGCACCGGCTTACATGTAGATTGACATTTCTTGCTATGGGTTAAATTTGGCTGCAAAGGGCTACTAATATTTCTTAAACCCTATACCCACCTTGTCGCTGGGAAGCCTCCACTCCACCATCTTACCAGAAATCGTATCGCGGACTTCCTCCTGGCAAATGATGTAAATCTGCCGGGGTGCATAGTTCATGTGAATGGCCTCCAGGACCGTGCGCATGAAAGGCCCAGCTGACTTCAGGGGAATCACGAAATCCATGGTGGGCACCCGTACATCAGGCTGCGGCGTTGAATTGGCACATTGGAAAAAGAACAGAGCTGCAGCAACTGAGCAGAGTGTGAACAGGGCCAGGCTACTGCCCACGAACCAGATGCCCAAAGAGGCCAGGCTACTGCCCACAATCAGCGGAAGGAGCACATCCGCCAGTGAGTTGAAAAAGCGGCTGCCGTTCATGAAGGATCTCTTGCGACTTGGGCATTCGGGAGCATGGACAATGGACAGGGCAATGGCTGCCCCAGCACAGAGGCCGCAGCCTATTCCAAGGAGACTGGCCCCCTGGACGTAAAACCCAACTCCCTGCATGCAGTGAAACTGGATTCCTTGGTAGCCCCGTAACCATATCAAAATAAGGGTAGAGAGGAACCCAGAACCCAAAAAGGGCANNAAAGGGTACCACTGGGCTTCCTAGATTCCCAAAGCTGATACCAGCAGTGAAACCAGCACCACGGGTAAGATGCCCAGACACTCCATCAAGAAACCCCCCACCGGCGCTGCGACCAACGACTCCATACTTGGGTTCTGTTAAGGAAGTTAATGTTGGAGTTCGAATGACAGGGACATGTAGTAAATAACAGAATTCCCCCTGATTATGGTAAGGTGAGGTAAATTAGGTTCGTTAACAGCAAACCAGCATCGGTGACACCCTAAATAAAGAAAAAAGTAAACCCAACCCAGCATCTGTGACATGAAAGCCACGTGGCCGACGAGGCTGGTATGAAGCCCGCTCTCTGCGCCAATCAGGGGTATCAGAAACCTGGGCTAGCTTTGACGGTTAAAGGTTTGGGACAGGCAGCTCCACAACAATGGACCTCTTCTGGGTGAGACAGGGATAGTAGGGATTGTGGGCCAATACAATACATTCCCAAACCTTCAACTGAACTCTAAAATTCTAAACAAAACGAAAACCTAATCTTAACCCCTAAACCCCTAAA